CCCCAAAACCCCAAAACCCCAAAACCCCAAAACCCCACAGCCGAATCCTAAGATTGAAATATCAAGTGTGTAAATTATGATGTCTGAATATTTAGTACAATTTTGTGTTGAATATTTCTTCATCGACTTTATATCGTCTAGACAATGCTTTCTCAACTTGCTCATTCCTGCCCTGAAATTTATTACATATCAATTCAAGCTCGTAGAATGGAATACTTTGGAACACAGCTTTAGGAATGAATAAAACATGCACATCTGAGTTAGACTAAAGAATAATGAATAGTTTCTTACATAAATGTCTCCATAAATAGTATAATCTGAGATCTTGAGTGTATCAAATTCTCCAAAACAATCGCTAAAAAAGATCTTGTAGCATGCTTTATTTTGATTCTCGCTGAGCTCGCCTGAATCAAAGCCATCGAGCCTGTTGACTATTTTACAAGTTCCTTTGATAATTATATAAACACCGTCAGGCTCTGAATCGAAGTTGGTTTTGGAGGTATCATAATAATCTGTAATCATATCATTCAAGAATTCTGTAGTCAGTCTGGAGATGTGGGGATTCATCACTGATTTACGGTAATACCTATTATAAGCTATATATTCTTACTGTTTAATACCAAGATTTAGATGTTTGTTTTGAATGTTTCTGATAGGAGACTTAGAGTGGCTGTAACTCCTAGGCCTCCTGAATAGTGAAATGATTCTCTCAAACTCTCCCTGATGGTGGGAAGCATCATTACCTCTTTGCTTTTAAAGCCTCAGTTTTCAGCTTCATGTTGTATAATTTGTAAAATTCTATGTAGTCCTTATTAATCAGTGACTTTTTGGACTGGGGCTGAATCAAGGAATCTACTAGTTATTCTACGAGCCTTACTAGTTTTGTATTTCCTCAACTCGAGATATGGGATGATCTTTCATAAAGTCTTACTTGAAAGATAAGTTATCGGCTTCAAAATTTTAACCAAGGCTATAAAAAATATATTTCCTTTATTTTTGCTTCACTTACGTATCAGAGTAGAGGTAGTACTCTTATGGTTTAACAGAGAGATAGATATCATCTTCAAACCGGCATTTTTCTTCTGTTTTACATAAATGTCCCAAATTGGCTGAAATTCCTTATTAGTAAAAGTTGCGCATGAAGTCTCTCACCGAGTGATTCACCAATTATCAGAATCGTAACAAATATCATTTCCTTCACAACTACCCATGATATCTCCTTCTTTAAAGTTGACCATCAATTTGGAGGGGTAAATTCTGATTTTATGAGATTTCATGATGATGTCTCCAGTGATGACAATTCTGATGGTATTTTGCTTCATAAATACTAAAATTTTAACTTGAGTCTTACCAACTTCGTTCTTTTGATACTTTGACAACTTCATTTTTGGGATAATCAAATTCATAATCTCTTCTTCTTTGAACTCTTCAAAGAACTTTTTGGTCAGAAGATAGTTTAGAACAACCTCTTGATTATGGAAGTTCTTCTCCTTTTCAGTGTAAAACTGGCTGAGCACATCTTCACTGGGAACAACATAATAGAAGTCCATAAGTGTGCGCAAACTTTCGACGCTTCTTTCAACAGCTTTTCGCCCTTTGAAGTATGGAATCATAAGTAACCCCCAGGTGTACTTAATCAGATCCTTAGACTCAATGTTGAAAATAATTTTGGTCAGCTTTGAATAAGCCAAATTAGTATTCCGACTCAAATTCTTTTTATTTGTAACTAAGAGCTATAAGATAAAGAAGGTTGATTTTGATGACCTCGTCTTCTGGCTCCAGATTTAAGCCATACTTAGAAAGTTCCAGACATTCCCCATACTCTATTGCAACTTCACCATGGTCACTGCTAAGCCAAGGATTGGTTTAGGATCGTAAGGATCAATAGAATGGGCTTTAGCTAGCCAAATTATTGATCATTTAAGCTTATTTCATGAGTTATAAAGACATCCTAGGTTATACGAGACTTCTAAATTATTCGACTCTAGAATAGACCCTTGGAGATAATAGTCAATAGCTGCTTCAATTTTTCCTTCTTTAGAGAGTTCATATCCTTTCCTTATCCAGAACTCGACGTCTGAGAAGTCAGGTTTATTCTTGCTTTGAATTGTCTTTCTAAAGCTCTTAGAAATTGCCTTACAACACATCTTTTCTTGGTTTGTCTTGGTAAGAAAGAAGGATCTCAAAGCTTTGGTTTAGGTAGGCTATGGGTTAGAGGTAAATATACTAAATCCATCCTTAAATTTCACATCCTTGTTGTAATCTATGTATTTGCATCCAGGACAACCCTTAGCAGGCTTATCTTTCTCATGCTTCAGAATATGAGGTTCTTTGTTCTTCTTGGTGAGGAAAAGTCTGTTTGAACTAATTACTTTGTCGGTAGCAAATTTTATCAAAGCCATTTTCGCTTCAAAAGTGGTTGATGGCTGGTTTTTATATAAAGGTTTGAAGCCTGTTGGTTTTCGAGGAATTAAACTTATTTTCTTCTTATTAATTGTAGAATCGCACTTCTTATTTTTATCCTTAAAATCACTCAGCTTAAATTGAATATTTGTTCCTGGCAGTGGAGGTATTCTTGAACCTTTTTCCACTGACAGGGGATTGAGGAAGACTTTTAAATCGTTTTTTATATCCTAATTGATTCCTAAAAGACTGCGAAACAGGAGATGATACATCAATCACAGAGGATCTCTTTATATTACGTCCATTATTTCTGAGGAACCTTACCATTTCTCTCAACAATCCGATCTCTATACCCACATCAACCCCCAACATCTAATACAAACTCCCCATACTACCTCTTGCTCTCCTAACCCCCTCTATCCCTCCCCTTCCCAAGTACCTTCTGATCCCACCTGCACTCTCCTACTTCATCATCCCCATAACTTACTACAGTCGTCCCTTTGTTCTGCCCATAACCGCTGTACTGCATACTACGGTTCCGACTTCTGCCAGGACCTGCCCGAGCATTTGAAGAGTTCAGATTTGGATTTTGAGTGTGATTCTGATTATTTTGTACTAGATTTTAGTTGAAAGTGGAGGTGAAGGTGAGGGAAATTAAGGAATTTTAGAGGGTCTTTAGGGGGTGGCTTACAGGTTTTGTTTTAGGGAGACCATTCTGGCGATCTCTGACCTGGACATACTTGATAGAGTGTATTTGTTCACGTATTGTGAATGATTTCCTAAAATGATCATTTTCTCTAATTCAAGTCGGCCTTAAGTTTTACATTACACAAATAGAGAATGTGGATTCACACACAACAAGGGAAAGAAATTATGCTGTTCTGTTTATCCAAAAAGGTAATAATCCCTGTCTTCTTACTACTTCTCTTCCTCTTTCTTGATGCTTTTGGAGCTTTAGATACTTTCTTTTTAGGATTTTGGAATTTTTAGCTTGAATACAGGTAAATCTGAATCCTCAGTAAATTCTTTTAGAAATTTATGATGAGAAGCTGGGTTTTTATGATCTATAAAGAATATTAACAATTTAAAAGAATGATGAAAATATTTAATAAAAATTATAATTTTTTACCCTGACTGTTGATGTTGATATTACTGATATGCTTTTGAGTTGGACTCAAGAATTTCTCTTTTGGAGTCGTTCCAATTTTAGGTGACCTAAGATGAATATAAATTATATGAGCTTTAAAAAGAGATTACAATCCATTGAAGAGAATGACTATTCAAATTTTCTCATATGGCATTTTCCAATGCATTTCACATTAATTTCAACTCCAAGAGGATTAATGCTTTCTCTTCAGTGATATTTACCTCATTGTCAAATTAGCTGGCCTTTCTGAATTTTTAGGATCAGATAAAAGAGCCTTATCAAAAGTCTTTGGTTGTAATCTCTGATGAAATTTGAAACTATGCTGTCTCAAAGATCTTCTATAATCTTCATTTAGACCATAACTATACAAGACCAAAGGTGCTTTATGTATTAAAATCCTTAAAGCCGTTTTTACCATTAAAAATACTAAAAATCTTACTTTTTCGCCTTATGTATATTTCCTGGAGTCGAACTTCTATACAATATAACAACTTAAAACTCTAAAAATGCTAAAATAAATGTCAAATATGCAATTATATGCCTCAAAAACATTGATTCTGATAACTTGTGGCTTACTCCATTTATTTAAATTATTTCAATATAGAAATGCTAATTTGGGGTTTTGGGGTTTTGGGGTTTTGGGG